AGAGCAGGAAGACCAGTGAGGAGAGGGGGATTGAACTGACAGAGGGAAGGAGGGGCTCTTAAAAGAGACCCCCACATTTTTAAATATTGCTCGTGCAGATTCTCTCCGAGTTCTGGCATGGGGCGTCCGGCAGTACTGTGGGGGGGAGGCCTGGAGGGATGGTAGGACTGAAGAGATCTGTGCTCCCTCCTCTCCAGTTTGGAATGAACGCACTTCTCCTCGCGGCTTGGTTCGGCCACCTGCGCATCCTTCAGATCCTCGTCAATGCTGGGGCCAAGGTCACCTGTGTCAATAAGGTGAGGCAGCTTGCTCCTGTGTCCTGTCCTCAGCTGTCCAGAGCCAGGGAGCAATACGGGGAGGGTGGTCGGCTCGGTCATTACAGCCAGCAGAGAATGGGAGAGCTGAGAGAAGAGCTGCAGGGCCGCAAAGCTGGGTCCATAGGTGACTGTCGGGAGGGGGGGCACGTGCCCCCCTTACCCAGAGTCGTCCCTGCCGCCAACACTGTTGGCAACTGTGGGTGCTCACCAGCCCCATCCCCACTGCTGACTCTGTCACTGGCTTCTGCGGGTGTCCCCCCAGACTCAGGAGGCACCAGTCACCCATGGCTGGGTCCTTATGGGCACGATGGGGCTGCATGCACCCTGGGGGCAATCGCTGCTTGGGTTGCTCCTGAGTAGTACTGGGGGAACTCCTGCAACCCCTATCCCAGGATCTCTCGCCCTGCTGCTCCTTTTGCCCAGTCCCATCAGTGTCCAGGCATGCAGGCATCATCATTTATTTTATTAACATGATGGGGAAAATGTACAGCGCCAGCACTGTCCTCTCCCCAAAGCCCTCTGGATATGCCCACGGCTCTGTATTTGTATCCACCATGGCAGTCCATTTTCTGCACTGTGACTGCCTCTGAGAAGAGAGCCTCGTATTATCACACCCAGCCACATCCTTTTGGTTCACTTGCCACTCCTGCTTGAAGGCCTCTACCCACAGCCGGGCTGTCCAACACGGGCCTGTTTCCACGGTTTTTGCCCACTGTGGCAGCTCTTCTAGCGAGGGCACAATGTACGGAAGTGCCCGTCGCAGGCTGGTGGTTGTTCCTGGGCCCCAGTCGCCTGAGATGGAGTGGGATGACAACGGGTTCTTACCCCCTATATGGAGGGTCAGCAGCCACCCGTTTCAGTGGCTGCCGTGACCTCTCTAATCCGATGCTTGGCTAGGTTGCGGTAGCTTCAGGAGTCGACTTACACAAATTGAAGTGTCCTTCCCGGTGTGTGAGGCTATTCATCTCTCTCTCAGAAGGCTTTGAGCCCAGAGTGCAGCCAGTCCGTTGTGTTGAGACATGGTCTTTTTAGGAGGCAGCCCCAGGCATCCAACCTGCACAACGGGGAACATGAGCATTTTATATGTGATTGAATAAGAAGACGAGAGCCTTTTTCCTTGAGACTATAAATAGCTGCCGTGAGACAGTGAGTTTATTAGGACAAAGGAACCTACCTGCCCTTTGCAGGGATGTGTATATATTTATTTTGCTTCATCTATGGCAAGCAGATGCCACGTACTGCATTGCACAGTCATGGGAGGGGAAAGGTTTGCAGGGCAATAGGAAGAGCTCAGTGCTGGCGTGAGCTGCTCAGTCTTCCCTGTTAGCTGACATCCTTTTACTGACTTCCTGCAGGGGATACGGGAGAGCGGGTGAAGCTGGGTGCCACTCCTGGCTCTGTCTCTGACCCGCTGTGTGACCACAGGCTTAGGGAAGCTGTTTCACATCTCTGAGCCTAGCTGCGCTAGTACATAGCTATCATATTTTTTGTTCCAGAGAGGTTTCCGCAGTCCGCGACTCTGAAAGGCCCAGATGGAAGGTGCTGTAGAAACAAGAAGGAGCATTAATAAATCAGCAGTAGATATGTTTTAAAAATAAACCTCTGCTGAGAAAGAGAGAACATCAACATTTTGGAGAAACAATTAGCCATCTGCAGCCCTGGCTGGCTTTAGCCAGGGAGCTGCAGGGAGGCAGTGGATGAGGTTTTTTTACCAGGAAGAAGCTGTTACAGCAGTGATGTAATGCAGACTCTGACTCATTAAGCAAATGTGGCTTGCTTCCCACTCTAGCATGGCAGGAACCTGCTCCACTGCGCGGCCCAGAGAGGTCACGTCAAGGTGATGGAGTTCGTCATGGAGGACCTGGAGAATGTGCGCGTGGACAAGACGGACAAGGTAGTAAGGCCGTAAAGCAGTCTCACTTCCATGCTCTTCCTGGCAGCGTTCCCCTGGGTTTCAGCAGGCGCAGGATTAAGTCCCTGGGAGCACGTCTCCTGAGATGCATGGAGAAGGTGAATCCAGGATCTGGCTTGCAGGGGAACGCAGCAGGCTGGCTTCTCCCTCCAGCCCCACTCCTCGGACTTGTCCTCCCGTGGAATTGCATCTCGTTCTAAGCGTGCCCTGGAAGCTGTCCGTGGGGTGCGAGGCAGGATGGGCGAGCCAGACGTTATCACGAGAAGGACTTGATTTTCGCCCGGGGGAAAATGCCCTCCTTCCCCAAACGCAGTTTTCTGTGGGAATCGCCAGAAAAGTCTAGTCAGGACTTATGGACTCCGAGTGGCAGGATGGTGCTGTGCCTGGCAGCCTCATCCTGGGGAGTTGCAAGCCGGGCTGCATTAATGACGCAGCAGGGCATGGGCATGCCTTTGGTAAACAACGGTCCCTGTCGCCAAGCGGTTCCTTCCTGATCGATCGCTGCAGGCGGGTCCCACCTCGTTCATCAGGAAGCACACGGCTGAGCCCGGCTCCCGAGTGCCGTTCCCCCCTCGCTGTCCTCAGTCGTAGCCCTTGCTGCCCCCCCTTCACCCCACACCGCTCCTGCGGGGATCCTTTCTCTTCCCCAAGCACAACGTGGGTCGCACTAGCAATTACCTATGCTCAAGAAGGTTTTTTTAAATAAAATGACTCATGGGATAATTAATGCTTCAGATCATTTTTGCTTTCTCTTCGGCTTTTAAGCTTTAATTACTTTTTGATAAGCTGCTTATTTTCCTTTCTTCGGGTTGAAATAAATATTGACATTCTCTTTGCCTTTTATTGTGCCAGATGAAACCAAAGGGCATAGAGTTGTTAGTGCCAGGCAGGTGGTTCAGCTCAGCTCTTTTTTTTTTCTCTAAGATCACCCCAAAATGTGAAAGCAGACCAGTAGGAGTGGGCAAAATGCGGCCCGCGGGCCAGATGCAGCCCGCCAGGCTATTCTATCCGGCCCATGGGGCCCCTAAAAAATGTAGAAAATTAATATATATCTGCCCCTGGCTGCCTGTCATGCGGCCCTCGATGGCTTGCTGAAACCCAGTAAGCGGCCCTCCTCCTGAAATAATTGCCCACCCCTGAAGCAGAGGAACATTACCCTGCTGGCGATGTATAAAACCTTTTAAGGCTCAATGCTAGTTACTGCCAGGGGGAGACAAAACTATTCTTGCAGTGTGTAGTTATTGGGGGAGGCCTACTTCTGATGCCTTCAGCAAGAGTCATTACCTTAGTGCTAGTGTTAGGTATCCAGGTTGTAGCCGTTTTGGTCTAGAGGAAAAGGCAATCAGGACTTGAAGTAGAGATGATCTCTTTTATTAGACCAACAAGATTTTTGCAAAAAAAATCTTTAATTGCAAGCTTTCAGGCACAAACCCCCTTCATCAGGCATCGGAGAAAAGACTGTAGAAGTTCTCCTGGGTAGAAATGAAAGTTCAGATTTCATAAGATTTCACAGAGGAGTCAGTAGATTCATAGATTCATAGATGTTAGGGTCGGAAGGGACCTCAATAGATCATCGAGTCCAACCCCCTGCATAGGCAGGAAAGAGAGCTGGGTCTAGATGACCCCAGCTAGATACTCATCTAACCTCCTCTTGAAGACCCCCAGGGTAGGGGAGAGCACCACCTCCCTTGGGAGCCCGTTCCAGACCTTGGCCACTCGAACTGTGAAGAAGTTCTTCCTAATGTCCTGTCTAAATCTGCTCTCTGCTAGCTTGTGGCCAATAGGTGGAAAACTCCTCTGGGCAGGCAGTTCATAACTGGTATGAAGCCTCTCTCCTGTGAGGATCGGTGATGATGCAAATTACTTTGAGCCAAGGTGAGAGCAGGAAATCGGGTTTCAGGTGGTCACAGTTGCTTCCTGCTTGGGGAAAATACAAAGATTTAATTTGAAAAAATTGGCTAAAATTCAGTATCTTCCATGTGTCGGGTATCCAGGTTATTCTCAGCTGTTAACCTTTGTCTTTATGTTTCTGTTTTTCTCTTCCGAATTGCAGACGGACAGGACGGCCTTTCACCTGGCTGCAGAGCACGGGAGGCTGGAGGCGGTGGAGTTCCTGATCAGAGTGGGGTGTTCCCGCAGCGCGAAAGACAAGGTACGGACAGAAGCTGGCGTTTGGGGCACAGCAATGGAATAATGACCTAAATCACGCAATGGGATCTCGATTTGGGTGGCTGGGTCAAAGACACGCAGGTGGTTGGTGATCACATGCTCAGGCCGGTTGGCTGTACGCTGGTGTGCAGTAGCTCTGTGTCTTGCCTGTTCCGTGGAATTCTTCCCTCGTCCATTTGCAAGCCCAGCAGGAAGGCGCTGAAGCTGTGGATAGGCCCTGGAGCTGGGGGGGGACTTTTTGGACCATGGGGTTATAACCCTAACCCTGCATTACGATGAAGTGGCAGCCTGAATTTATGGAATAAAGCCAATTTATTTGTTCTCCTGGAGACAGTTGCTAGGTCCCCAGCGTGGGAAGGACAGATACGTCTCACTCCACAAGAGAATATTTGTTAGGGGGCTAGTGCGAGAGGAGTGACAGAAGAGAGCAGCACGTGTTCAGCTCATTCACAGGAAAATACATACCCTGTGATTTGCTGAGCCTTATGGAGCTCCTATAGTGCGGCAGTGAGGAACGTAGAAGTAAAGTAGATGGATGAGAGAGACAGAAGACATTTGCCTCCTGGGGAGAAAGTCCTCAGATACCCAAGCTCCAGTGCTCTGGAGTCAGAAATCAGAAGCAGCACTGGCACCGCAGTGGTAAGATCCCACAGTGATGGGAAGCTTATTCATGTGTCTAATTGCTGCCATAATTGCATTCACCAAGGATTTAAATTTGTGGAGTGGGGAGAAGTGAATTGTTCAAAAGCAACGCTTAAATGCTTAAACAGAAAATTTTCTTTGCCTCCTTTTGGTGCTCTAGTTTCTTGGCAGACATAGCACCCCTTCATCAGAACTGAGTCAGTTGTTTTTCTTAATGGGCGATTATTTGACAAAAGAATGACTCCCAGGTTTGCTGTTGGGTCAGATGGAAACAAGAGACTGGCAAGGACATCCAGGGTCATCAAGTCTCATCTCCAGGCAGCCACCTTGTATAGTTTAATTCCTAAATGAATTCAGCTTCCTCCTAAAACCAGTTAGGCTTATTGCCCCACTACTGCTGCTGGGAGGTGGTTCAGTCTTGTTCTGCTGATGGTTAGAAAACCTTCTTTTGCATCATCCTGGGAACTGGTTCGTACAGAGCTGCTTTGCCCGAGTGCTTGGCCATGGAGGTTTTACACAAGAAGCAATGTTTGCACGCAGGAAAAGAATACAGCCCTACATTTAGCTGCTAAAAATGGGCATTTGGCGGTGCTACAGAAGATTGTCGGAGTTGGAGTGGACCTGGATGAAAAGAACGTGGTGAGTAACTAAACGAAACCCAAGCAAGCGTCCCTCCTGACTTTTAGAGGCAGCCTCCCATGTCAGGACCGCTGGGCTCTGTGCTAAGAACTAGCTTATGGACCTCGCTGGGTTTATTTAAAATGCGCAGATCCAAAGTGCTGGACACGTGCAGTTTCTCTGCAAGAAGCAATATCCCTATTGACTCCAAACTAAACACCAATTGACTCCCTTTACCTTTGTTGTAGGAACACAGGACTGGAAGGGGCTTTGTGGTCTCGGGCTGCCATTTGCCCAAGAAATTCCCAAACTTGCCCCTGCAAAGCCTCATGCACAACTATAAAGCACAAAATTAGAAGCACCAACAATACTCTACCATGTGCCATAGATGAAAGCAGGGAAGACAAGGGCACTGCCCGTGTCCTGCCACTGCAGTGGCAGGGAAGTAGTTTGTTTAATACAGGTTCAGAAGACCGTGGAGAAGGACCACTCTAGAGAGGAAGGAAAAAACTCACAGTTCATGTAACTGTTGAACTAACTTGACTACCATCTTTTCTCCCCCACTACAGTGCCACGCTCTTGCATACTCTGGTGCCTAAATGGTTAATGAACATTGTTTTAAGATACATCAAGTCCTGCATAAAGAACATCGATCTGGTCACTGAACAGCTAGTCTCTCGATTTGATATCTTCTGCTGTTTGGGTTACCAGTCTATGATTAGAGCATTAGTTAAAGTCTTGACTAGCAAATAGCCATCCAGTCGAGTCCTGGGGTGAATCCACTCAGTCTCCCAATTTAAATGAATCCCTGATAAACGTAAATCTTAATTGCTGCCTTTGCATAGTAAATAAGGTGATCTGAAAGGGAAGGGAAGCAGTCTCATCTGATAGTTTATCAGCCAGTGCTACTTCTGGATGGATCCCTTCCTGATCAGCTTCCCCTCGTGCACACACTAGCAATGAATGTAGATAAATGTCCTGGGAAAGGCTCATGGGGCCTCCTTCATAGAGGGAAGTATGCTGTAGTAGTTGCAGGAGCAGCAGTCAAGTGGCATAGATTCCCAGCTCTGCCCATGACTCACTGTGACTTCTGGGATATCATTTGTGACCCTGTGCCTCAGCTTACCCATCTGTGAAGCGGGCATATATGCCATCCTGTTTCTTTTTATTACAGAATGTCCCAGCTGCACTAAAAAATATCTTTAATTTGATGGCTGTGGCAGCAGTCAGCTGAAGTTGATGAATTGCAGACGTTTGGTATGGAGTCCATTTTAGATTCCCCCTGTTGATAAATTTGTAGGCCATGTGCGTAAAATCACTCACTGGAGGCAGAGGTTGCAGGGACAGAGTATTATGCATGGTTTGCCACTGCTTTCAGAGTCCTCTCTCACCTTCCTTGCATAGGCAAAGCTCCCTCTGAAGTCAGTGCTGAGTGGGGCCTGACTTCAGAGGGAGCTTTGCCTATGCAAGGAAGGTGAGAGAGGATGCTGAAAGCTGAGGCAAACACCACACTATCAGCATGTTGATAGTGGTGAGTGATTCCTTAACATTAGTCTGGAGAGGGAGTGAACCCCGATGCGTACAGCCAGCACGGGAGCACGTTGCTGACTGAAGAGGCCCAAGGATCCCACACCTCTGAACAGACTCCCCTGTGTCGCCAAGCTGGCGTGTGCAGCTCACCGGTACCAAGCCTTGCTCTATGAAGGGCCCCTCTTGGCATCCATGCCCAGGTTCAGCTTTGTCTCTTGTTCTTGTTCCCAGGAAGGACAAACTGCCCTGCACTCGGCTGCCGACGGAGGGCATTACGACTGCGTAAAGCTCCTCTTGGAAGCTGGTTGCAATGTTAACGTCCAAACCCAAGTAAGCAAGACCTGTTGGAAGATGGCTTTGTTTTCAGTCGTTTCCCACTTGGGCAGCAGCTGTGCGGCTTGCTCTGTGTGCAGGTGGCAACATAAGAAGGGTTAAGTCCTACCCTTCCACCTTCCAGCTGCTGTGTGACTTCAGTATCAGTGCAGGGTGGAACACCCCTTTGACAAAGGAATAGGTCTCAAACGCTTGTATGGCAGCCGGCTTGCCCTGAAGCCCTGACACAGTGGTCTCCTTTGTCTTCCCACTGGAGGTGGAGGCAATTGAAGCAAGGACTCAATGTCAGGCCTGCTCAGACAGGTTTGAGCTGTGGCAATATTAGGTTCCTGTTGTTTCTTTTCCAAGCTTGTACAATGATTTGTTCATTATCATGCAACAGGCCCCCAGTTGTAGTTACTGGGACTTCTTTAATGGTTTCTCGGAGAGCATAGACCCTAACAGAGCAGACACCCGCTTTCTTGTGGGCTGTGCTGATAGATGAGGTATTCATGCTGCACTATGCCTAGGACAGCAAAGACACCATTTCTTTTGTCATGGAAAATTAGTCTAGGAGACCCATTCACCACTAATTAAACTGAAGTTCCCTCTGAGGATGAGGTCTATCACTGTAGAATCAGATGGACTAAGGAGCGTTCTTCTTTCCCTCTGAAAACTAGCGTTCTCCAGTTGAGAGACCAGTATATCAGGACAGAGGGTTTGGTATATCAGGACAAAAGTTTGGGGAACAAAATGCCACCAAAAGAAAGACCTGCATCCTTTGTATCCTAGTAGTTGATACTGCTTTGTGTCCTAGTAGTTGGTCTAATAAAAGATACCAGATTCACCCAAAGAACCTTATCTATGTCCTTAGGCCAACACGGCTACAACCTACCCCCCCCCCCCAAAAGAAAGGTCATTTGGGTTTTCTAAAGGATATCGAGGTGACTGGGTGATAGTGAAAATCATCTGCATTGGAGAAAAGTGATAGCACTGCAGGACATGCAGAATCAAGATGCCATTAAATCAGAGAGTGACAGCTCCATGGTAAAGCTGTTCGTGCCTTGGGTTTGGGCTGTCTCCAGCTGACATCTTATCATCGCCCCAGTATTGCTGTGCCCCTCGTGGCTTGCACCAGTTCCCCAGCGGAAGGGAAGGGCGTTCTCCGAGGAAGCTGCTACAGCTGGAACCTCTGAGAAGCAGAATGAACAAAGGCCCAGAGGGAGAAAGGTCCTTTTGCTTGATAAAATGCCTTGGCCTAATATCCACCTGTTTTTTGGTGTGTGTCTCAGAAACAGATGAACTGCCTTCATTATGCTGCACTGCACGGCTATGAAGATATAGCCCGGGTCCTTGTGGATGCTGGAATCCATGCAGAGGCCGTCAATCATGTAAGCTGCATGAAATGATTTTGAGTTTTTCTAAACAAATGGGGCCAGATTCTGGATACGGTCATGGGAGGCAGACGATAGGGGACCTGGATCTCCTGTCTGTGAGCACCTGCTTTGGCCATCGTAAACCTCTCTTCTCCATCGTGCAGCCCGGCAAATGCTGTGCTGGCACAGGCTGAGCAGCTGCGTCTGCCTATAAACTATCTCTGGTATTTGCCTTTGGAAGACTTGTCTGCCTGAAAGCAACAGCTTGCTTTCATTTCCTGTCTTGTCCTCATTGATATCAGTAGGAGCAAGGCTACACCTGGCCCGTACTCCGTTCCCTTGAGGAATCCATACAAATGTCAGTTGCTGCTGATCCATAAGGTGCATGATTGGCAATGAAAAAGGAGCGCTTTAGAATTGGGGATTCATAGCCTTTGTGTCCTAGCCCAGGTGCCGGGACCCTTAACAAGTAGATTGTCAGGCAGAAGGCTGCATATAAGCTATAGACCCGTGGCAAATAACGCATCTTCTTTCCATAGCAAAATGCCTCAGCTATGCACATAGCGGTGCTGCACAACTTCCCAGCCCTGGTTAAACTCCTCATCGATGCAGAATGTGACCTGGACATCCCAGATAACGTAAGACTGGGAACTGAGCAGGGGTGCATGTAACAGACGGCGTTTAAAACATGGAGATTCAGCTCACGAAACTCAAAAGTGCCTGAGTTGTTTGCATTTTCCAAGCAGGTCCTTGGTTGGACCCCATGATCCCTCTGTGCGTGAGGTTCCCTGGCTGGTCTGTATACAGGTCTGCATGTTCAGGCCCTTCCCACTCTGAGCTGTGAGCAAGCAGCAGAGGTTTGAACACATGCATAATTTGGAGAACATTAAGAAAGACTGTACCAGGAAAGCAGAAATGGACCTTGGTTGGTTCTTGGGCCGAACAGTGATGTTGCAAGCAATGCATCTGTTGCACATACAGATCTCTTTCAATCAGTCATTGGATTTTTAGGTCATTATCGCCATACTAGAACTAAAATCAGCTCTCAAAAAGCATTTGAGTTGGCTTAGTGCCTGTATCGATTTGCTGTGTTATTTCTTGGCTTGGTTTCTTGTATGCTACCTGGAATTTTCCACTAAATGACCAGCCCTCATTTTGACTTGAAGGGAAATCACCAGCATGGTATAGCTTGATTTTGGCCTTAGAGAGGTAGAGCCAGTATCCATTTGATATGGTTATCCATGGAAAGGAAACAGGGAAGACTGTCCTGTCCATTTCCCAAACATCCCTCTGCTTGATATATAGGGCTGGAAATGTGCAATTGGGGGGTCCCAAAGGCATGTTATAGGCTCAGATATTGTTAGGCTGAAATATGTACCATGAAGGACTTCCCATGGATAGTGCCAAGACAAGCCAGAATCCCATCTAGGAATCCCCTGGTGCATCCCAGCTGATGGGACATTTTACATTAACATCAATGGGACTGAGTTAGGTAGTAGAGAGGGCAAAGCATGTATAGGAATATGCAAGTTCAGCAGCGTCAGCTGGTTCCATTATACGTGGCCGTATTTCTTCCTGTTGTTCTCAGCCTGCATTCGTGCCCAATGTTGAATCTCTCCTTTCTTTTTACACAGAGGCAGCAGACCGCACTGCATATTGCTGCAGAACATGGGAGACAAGACATAGCTGAGATGATTCTCATAGCAGGCGTTAACTTAAAGCTAATTGATAAGGTAAACTTCCTTAATGGCCAAACAGATCTGAGAGGACTTCACAGGACTGCTAATTTATTTTACTTTCAGCTGCAGGAAAAAGTCAGTGCTAGAAAAAGATGCATATTTTCTTTGATAAGCAGTTAAAATGAGGAGGAATTGGGAGGGAGAGGGTAAAATGGAGGAGGGTGTAGTTTTAAGGAAGGTGTGGGCTGACTTTTAGAAAGGTGCAGAATAGTTCACTGATTGCTAGGCAAAGCTGCAGGAGTCAGTGCCTGCTACTGCCACCTCTGCCAGCACATGTATTAAACGCAAACCACCTTCTTCTGGGGTGGTCTTAAATAGCCAGTAAGAAGGATTAAAGTACAAATATGTTAATGGGCAAAAAATCTGAACTGTCCAATGGTCAGTGTGCAAAGAAACCCTGCAGCTCTGATTAACAAAAAGATTGTTGATAGCATTGGGCAAATGCAGCCCTCTGCTCCCAAGCACGTATTTGCTTGTGCAGGTGAGAAACTCAAAGAGTTTTCAGGTAGAGCTTAGTATCAGATCTACGATTCACTATAAATGGCATGCTTTTTAATGAAATGTAATAACATTGTAATTGTTTGTTGCAAAAGATTTGCAAAAAAGCACTGCTTTCCAGAAGGACTCTGAAGCCAGCTATGTATCTTGTGATATACAGATGAAACCATGTGGTTTCTCCAAGTAAATGGTAGATAAATATATTCATAGCTCTCAAAGGTGAAGGTGCAGCTTTGGAGGAGATGATGTCTGGTGAAGAGGGAGGGGGAAATATTTTCTTCCTGGCATCACTGAAGCTTCTCCCCTCTTCACTGTCGCGTTGGCTTTCACCATATCTGATTATGAAGAGCTTTGGGGGCCTGGGAACCCCAGAGATGTCTTTGGGAGCAAGTGTCTTAGAGTGGGGTTTCTCAACCCATGGGTCACAACCCAAAAGTGGGTCCCAGGAATATGTGAAAGGGTTGTGCACAAACTTTAAAGATGGAGTCTCTTTTAAAGGAGAAAAATGTGGGAAACAGTAGCTTTTCCCTTGCAAGCTAGCAGAGTTCCAGCCTGCGAGGGGTTGCTTGCCTGCCCCACCTCCCCCAATACACCGGGAGGCTGGAGGGTAGCGGGTAGGGAGTGAGGGGCACTGGATTGGGACTGGCCCTCATTTACAAGTGGGTCCTGATACAAAAACGGTTGAAAACCGCTGGATTAGAGATTCTGGGTTTGTCCTGCTTCAGTCATGAGTTATCCCTGCCACTTGCACCCCCGCCCCTACCATGTAGCTGACTTCCTGCCCCTTGGGCAGGGGGCTGGACCTGATGATCTCTCAGTCCTTCCCAGCCCTAATGTCTATGAAATCATTAATTAAAAGCCAAACCCAGCCAGACTGGGTCTTAGTCGGGAACCAAAATGTTGCTGCTACCACCAACTGGCATCTCTTGGAACTACGCTAAGACCAAGCACAAGACAAAGCAGAGGACTGTGCTTCACCCCAACACAGAATCACCCTCCTGGCTTGCTGCATTTATTTCTAATAACTGTCCTCTCTCTCTAGGTCTCTTGCATATAATAATATATATATTAATTGTGCCTACTAGGGATACAGACACACACCGAGTCCAGGAACATACGAGGGAGTTCAAATACTGCGTTAATAGTCATGTCAACATGCTGTTTCCTCCCAAGTAGTGTTTAATCAGACTTGTTCATACACGCACAACTGAAACTCGTGAGACAGCACTGGTCAGTTCAGATTCATGCACCTCAGTGAACCTGTTGAGCAAAACAGCCGCAAGATGCCTCAGACTTGAAATGCCGAGTGCATGTTGAAAGGCACTGGGGCCGAGCGTTTGTTCTGGAGCTGGTGTTTGTATCGTGCGATGAACCCACCAGTTCTCTGCGCGGCGTGCTTTGAGATATTCAGGAACAAACCGTAGCTGCTCCTGCTTGGCAGAGGGGGGTACAGTGGAGAGAGACCCTGTGGTAACAATTATCCTGGGGTTACAATTAACATAAGTAATTTAAGCACCATGAAAGACTGTATTAATGAATGTTACATCCTATTGATGTATACCCAGTGACACCCAGAGGGGTGCTCTTATTAGATGCTGTTAGGAGGATGGTGGTGGGAGGGCGGCTGCTTTGACTCCTATGTGGATGTCACCTGGGCAAGGCTATGGCGTGACTGCAGCTTGTCTCAAGCTGGCTTTATCCTGGCCAACTTTAAAACCACGAACAGTGTGGATGAGGTCAGCACAGCCTGCTAGACACACCAAGTACATACCTGGGCTGCAGCTACATCAGGGGTGGGCAGTTATTTCAGGCAGAGGGCCGCTTACTAAGTTTTGGCAAGCCATCGAGGGCCGCGTGACAGGGGCAGATAAATATTAATTTTCTAAATTTTTTAGGGGCCCCGTGGGCCGGGTAGAATGGCCTGGTGGGCCGCATCCGTCCCGCGGGCCACATCTTGCTCACCGACGAGCTACACTGTTGGTGCCAATCTAGTTAGTTTAAAGCTGGTTCGGATTCATCTACACAAGCTGCAATTGTACTCAAGTCTGCAGCATGCAATACTTATTGTTTCTCTGGGTCTCGGCTCTCCAGCTCCTCAACAAGGATGGTCACAACACCCAGATCTTGTACAACACATTTCCCAAGAAGATGCCTACATACTGTAGCAAGCAGATCGGTAGCCTTATCAGGTAAACATTTTGCCCAAGGGCACCCAGCAGGCCAGTACAAACCATAACTAGAATCCAGGACTCCGTCGTCCCAGCCCAGTACATTATTCCCACGGTCACTATCTTTGCCCTCCCTCACCAGGTTATGAAGGGAACCAATTCACTGAAGGTTGCAGGGTGTGTGGCTAGAGCAGCTCTAAGGACCAGCCACGCACCTGAGACAGACAGAAGATCAGTGACTGTACCTCTCCTGCACATGCGATCAGTAGCCTGTGTTTTTCTAACTTTGTTTTTTCAGCAAGGGAAAACCTCTCTGGATGTAGCAGCCCGGGGAAACCACATCAACTTAGCAGATATGATTATTAAAGCAGATCGGTTTTACAAATGGGAAAAGGTAGGCAGCTTGTGTTGAGCTGAGCATCTTCAAAGACCTCCTGTTTGTCGAGATGAAGCTTTACATGGCAGTTGAGACAGCATGTGATGCGCTATGCTCAGAGGTACAAGGGGGAAAGAAATGCACCAGACTGCATGATAAACATCTCTTTTTTTTTCACCACTTGTTTTATAAAAGAGGCCAAACAGCTTTACAACAGACCTGCTTCCTGATCTTGGCACCTGCTGCTAGACATCCCAGCCTGTCCTGGAGGGCCAGATTCTTAGAGATTCTCAGACAGTAGATCTTAGGGCACGTTAGAGAGGAGGATCAGCATCATTCCCCTCCATTTATAGGTAGGGAAACTGCTGCTTGGCCCAGCATCACCCAGCAGGCAAGTGAGCTTGGGAGTTTAATAAAGAAAGCCTATTGGAAGTTGGCTATCTAATCTGTTTAGGAGCTGTCTTACATCCCAGTAGGGGGGTTTGGAGAAAGAGGCACAGTGTGTTCTGCACCAGGCCTTTAGACTGCCTGAGGGGCTTTGGCAGAGTCCTCAATTGCTCTTTTCTGTGTGCAAAAGTAAGGATAGCGCTTCCTTTATCACCAGGGAGCTGAGGATTGATTTATCGTTCCTGGGTCTATTCAAGAGTCTCCAACAGAAGGCACCATTGAAATGCAAATCGTTATCTGCATTGACTGGCGTAGCAATGGTGCCATTAACAGCACTTATTAAACAAGGCATGAAACCATCAAGTTAATAAAACAGAAATATGCTGTGTCAGAATGAACTCTGTGACACCCAGTCTGCCACAGATGTGGGATGTGATGGATTGGCAAGTACCAGTGGAAGCACAGGCAGCCTATTGCTAGAGCAGCACTTGCAGGCTTTAGGCCAGGAATTGTTACTGGGGTTGATCTTGCTAACAATACAGAGTCATTGTATCCTGCTGCAGTGTGAGCATCAGCATAGGATAATTGGCTGTATTGTGGGCAAACAGGAGCGACATGCAGTATTGCACGTTGCTGCCAGCAGGGAAGTTAAACTGCTTCTCAAACACAAAGGAACGCTGCACTCCAGGTTCCTGCGTTTTCCTTCCCTGAATAAAAAACCAGCACTGAAGCTCCTCTCTTAACTCGGCAGGACAATCTGAACAGCGACTCGGACTCCTGGATAGCAAAACACTTGACCTTTAAGCAAGATCACAGGCTGGAAACGCAGCACATTCGCTCGGTGATGTGGAGATTAGCTACAAAATACCTCAAACCCAATGAATGGAAGAAGCTGGCACATTACTGGAAATTCACTGATGCACATATTCGAGCCATTGAGCAGCAGTGGACAGGTATAAGTCACAAGCCAAGCATTTTCTCCTCCTCCTCTCCATCCTTCTGCTCTGGTGTATGGCCAAGAGCTGAAGGAGCTGGCTGGTTGGCCTGGAACAGCCCCCAGATTTTGTTCAAAACACTTTAAACCAGGGGTTGGCAACCTTTTGCTGCTAAAAGGGCCTGGGCAGAGACACAGGGCACTTTCTGCAGGAGCCAAATATTCGTTCTTCACTGCACTGCCATTTTATTAGCCAGGCTAAGTGCCCAGGGGGAGCTGGCTTCCACTTTGACCCCTGTGAGAGATTTGCCCTTGGTTTCTCCTGGAGAGAGCCAAAGTGGATCCAAGTCCTGTGGAGGGTAGTGCTGAGGGGCAAGACAGGCAGGTTGGGGGCAAGCTAGCAAGCAAACTTGGTGCCTTTTCCATTCAACCTCCAAACACAGTAGTGCTATAGACCCAGCTAGACATTACTTGGGGTAGTTCAGGACCAGCATCATCTCTGGAAATATGGCTGTAAGCAAGCTTTCCTTGCAGCAAGGAAGAGCCCAAAGTCCTTTTATTTGCCCAGAACATACCAGGCAGCTTCCTGGAGTTGGAGTGGGACACTGAAACCTGAGGCCTTATGCTGACCTATGCATGTAGGATGAAGCATCCCAACATCTTTCCTGCTTGTTCTTTTAAGTGGAACATGACTTCGGATGTGGTGCCCAGGTTCTTCAGAGCGCAAGACCCAAACCCAGTGCCTTTCAGCTACCAGGTGCTGCTTTACCTTTCCCCAGAAGTGACTGTCTAGCCCCACTTTGCCAATAGAGGGGTATAACTGTGGGCTCGGGGTGGAAGCAAAGACAGATGCTGCCAGGATTAAGTCATATACGCCAGGGCTTCCAGGTTTGGCACTAGTCACAGGCTTTCAGAGTGGATATCAACTTGGCTTATTGGAGAGATCATAACCCTTAGTTTATGAACAGAGGTATAATTGGTTGAGTTTGCACCTTGGTCCAGTCCCCTAGTCAGCCTCCCCCTCTGACCCTTAACATGGCAGTAGCTGCCACCTAGCAATTTTGAAACCCTAAACTTGGCCATTGGGGGTGGGGAGCTACAGGTACAGGTGAGAGGGTTAACTACATAGTTGCTGGCTGCACTGATACCACCCCCTAGCAGCAGCATCTCCCATGGCTAGAGCCCTCCTACCTCCCCTTCAGTCAGTGCCTGGGACTTGTACCTTAACTCACCCATCCCTAGTTATGCTGCTGCTTTCTAAGAATAATAATTAGACAAATCTGATCACAGGACATCATTTTCCCGGAAACTTTGCTTTCCTTTAGATCCCTACTCAATACAGGTTTGAGCATAGTCCTCCCTTGCCTCAAGACAATGTTTCCAGCTGTATTTGCATGGATGTGCCTACGTAGCTAATAGGGCCACACTTTACCTTAAAGCTGCACACTGAACTCCAGAGTCAAGTTTACAGCTATATTTGCGAAGCCAAGTTTACAGAATCCATGCACAGTGAAGTACAGCATTTCTTTCTGATCTTAACTAGGTACTAAAAGCTACAGGGAACACGGCCACCGGATGTTGCTTATTTGGCTTCATGGTGTTATTATGGCAGGAGAAAATCCAATCAAAGGATTATACGAAGGCCTGGTTGGTATTGGTAGAAGAGACTTAGCAGGTAATGCTTGGTAACTTTTGCTCTGAGTAGTACAAACTCAACAGTTTAAAATTACTTGGCTACTTCAAGAGTTTTTTTAAATTTCTCTCTTTTTTTTTTGTCTTATATAAATATAACCAATTCCCATAGACAATCTTAAGCTTTGATTACATGTTCATTTTAGTTTCCCCCTTGTTTTACAGATTGCATGGGTTTACTCATATTCCCTGGCATTTCCTCCCGCTGCTCCATGCTTCCCATTCATCAAAACAAGCCTTTCTAGAGCAAATACACCCCACACAGTAATGCAGCTCCTCCTTTGCCAAGGAAAAAAACCTTTAAATTGGGATTTGGGGGAAAAGGGAGGGACAAGCAGCTATGGCAGCAGCAAGGGAAGAGGGAGTTCAAGTGTCAGGCTGCCACTCAGCATGAATTACCACTCTTCACCCTTATAAGCTTGAAGGAAAACATGAACTATTGATTTTGTTTTACAGAAAGCATTAGGAAAAAAGCAAATGCAGACGCCACTTCTCCAAGGAAGTGTACAGCAATGTAACCACCGAATGGGGATTGTTGGTCCCCTGTATGATGCTGCAGCAGAAGACTTTCCTAGAACTATATTGATTGGAACTGGAATCGTTCTGTTTATCAAAAGGCAGACATAACTTAAGGGCTTTTTGTCATAATAAATGGCATGTCTGCTACTTCCATCTGATCAGACAGACAAGGTACAGCAGCAGATGCTAGTAACCAACTGCCTCTTTCTACAAGGGTGGGGTTGTATTTGCTGTTGAGCAGAACCTGGTCACTGTAACAGCAGCTCAGTGAACAAATCTCGTTACAGTGCTAGTAACGTTGATGCTCATTTCTACCGTTTAACTTGTTTACATTGTTTTGTATGTAGTTTTTTAATTGTCTCTTTTATAAGTTAATGAGGGGAGATTCCTTTGTTTTTAAACTGTAGCGTAATGTGTTCTGTATCCAAACATCTAGGCTTTCTTGTCCGGATCACCTGTGGTTTATTATCCATAGGTTGGCTCAGAACTGCTTACCTGCTGGCATAGGTATTTTGGGGAAGAGGTATGTGGACTGTCCTCAAGTGAGCAGATTTTGGACCTCAGCCTTGAAAGTTTCCCTTTAGCAGGTATTTGGTGAAGCTACATCTTATACAGTTTTGTAGTTGGCTAGAATCTGTCCTTTTAAAATCTTCCTCTACATTTAGGAAAAGGAAAAAAAGATATAGCTGTTAAGTCAGTATTCAGTTTATTTTTAAAGGCACCCTAGACCTGCAAAGCTCAAGGAAGGGATATTTGAAAAGTCAATCCCCTTTCTTAAAACATAAGCAGCTGCATATTTGCTAAAGGGAAAACCATCCCCATGTACACCAATACATTATTGGCTGACAGATAGCCCTGAGCTAACTGCCAGCATGTGAGTCTTACTGTTTCAGTACAGAAGAGGTAATCATCTGTTGTTCATACCACCTCTGACAAAGGGCACACTTTCTTAAACAAGAGTTTGTCATGTGAAGTTTTGTAACTTTTTTAAACAATGCTGAAGGAAAAAATAAAGTGTTTTCCAATAAGCCAGGACACCTTTTCCCTTAAAGCGAGGGTTGTTTTTTTTAAACCTATTGTTCCTGCTCTTACAAAAGATATTGCCACGATTCACAGGCACTCTGAGAACACCTACCTAATACAAGTTGGAAACTATCACTGAGGCAGTTTAATTGTTCAAAGCAAATCCAAAGGAAAGAATACCCTTTCATATCATAGCTGTTATGGCAACTATGCACTGCTGTTTACACCCACGGACAGCTTTGCAGGATCATGTGAAGTTAGAGCAATTCTGTTTAATAAGAAAAAGCAACTTGTTGAAACTGAAGTTTTATTGAAAACCATTATTACAGCTTGCAAGAAAGTTAAAAATTTTAATGCTTTCATTTCAGTTAGAAATAGTAACTAACTTGCAACTCAACATATAAAGCAAATAAGTGATGGCAAAATTGGCACTTCATCATTTTTAAACCAAGTAGTCAACAAAACCATGAGCGGGCACTGAAGTACACAACCTGCTTATGCAATATATACAGCTAAATGAAAATATAAAACGAAATACTGTTCCTTTTAAGAACAAGACAGTGAAGATTTGGTAGCAAAAATGTGTCTCAATTTTTAAAAGTGTAGTCTTCAAAGATACTTCCTTAAATTCAGAGACTAAAAGTTAAACAAAACTATCCTGTTACACTGTTGTAGTCAACTGTCTTCAGCTGTATTTCATTGAATAGCTCAGTTCTGTTGGAGTTACACAGTGATAACCGGTAAATGTAAGGAGGAGGAGAAAAAAAAAAAAAAAGGCAGAGTGGAAACAGTTGATTGTACACAGGAAGACCACCAAGCTGACAGTCACGAAGTTACTGCTCTTCTGGCTCACTGCTGATGTGTAGATTGACCTTCTGGACTTCCAGTTCTTCTGCACTAACCATAGAGGGGTCAATAGCTGCATATCGTGTCCCGTGGAATTGCAGTAAATGTATCTGTTAAATATGAAAAATAACTCTGAAATTTGGATATGGATACTCGAGGGGAAAAACAATGGCATTATTACCCCCCGTCGTTAACCCAGAGAAAACCCCCATCACATTTCTGTACAAGCATGGTATCAATTCATATAGGAAGAAATCTAACCCAGCTACTTGGAACACAAGAATTTAAAATTGCATCCAGAGACATCACATTACATATATCACACCCCAGGATATACTATGCACCTTGTTTTTTGAAAGGTAGAATGAAGAAGAAAGCTCTTTCCTTATTAAAAAAAAAAAGTAACTGAGTAGCAGAAGCTGGGGAGCGAAGCTCGCTCACTGTTCTGTTCCTATGGCTTGCTGCAGATTTTACTGTTTCAGCCCATAAGCAGCAAAACCTTCATATTTCTCACATATAATGCACACTCCAGTTTCCCAAAACACAGCTGAAAAAGGTGTGTTGTATGTGAAAAAATACGGTAGTAGGGAAATGAAATCTAGCCAGAGGCAATGAGTGTAGCTGCTGTAGAGCCCAACCGCTCCACAGCAGCTCTTCCAGGAGCCAGATCCACTACAGCCACGTAGCTTAAAGAATAACAAGCAAGTGTAGGAGGAAGACTGGATTATGATGCTAGGAAGATTTGCATTTTAATGACTTACTTGGATATAGAGATTGACTTCAGCACTTCTACAGAGGTAAGGGAAGTTGCCCCCTGTTTTGAGGTGGGCTCTTCTGGCATTGGGGTATAGCTTATACATTTCCTCCTTAGCTTCAGTTGAAAGTGCACTCTGGTCAAACACCTTGAAAACAGTCACAAATCATCACTCAAACCCACTGGGTCTTTTGAAGAAACTTACTGTAAGCTACAAATAAGCTACCTACCATTGGCGTTACCTTAACTTCATTGTCCTATCCCTTCTATGCTGCCTTCTCAGCTTTTGTGGTGCAATGTTCATCACACAGTGAAATTTAACTTCAAGAATAAAGCTACAATAGTACTGTATAAATTACATATTTGCTAAGGACTATTTGAAACATAAAAGGAAGTAAAGGCTGGCAATAAGTCTCTCCTATTAATCACATAGGCTTGCTAGCATTACAGTCGGGCTTCAGGGTGACACCAAAATCACTAGAGTTGTAGAACGTATATATTGTTTTTAAGTTTACAGGCAGGCTGGCAAACTCTGTTTGCAAAAGTTTAGACGGCCCTGAGCTCAGGTTGTACTCGCAAGACACCCCATGATAACTTTACCTTTAATTCACTGTACAGAATAATCCATAGAGGACAAAGAGATTTAACACAGAATTAGATCTTCCAAGTATTTAAAATCACTCGTGGAATTTCCAAGTCCCACCCAGGAAAGATAAGAGTTTCCAATACATAAAGGAAAATGCACACAAAACAAGATCAACTTACATCCATAATAGTTACAGGAATGTCTCGAATTTTATGAGGTTCCACATAGGAGTTCTGGCAATTAAGGGTAAGTCTCGAAGCTAACTCACTCTGGCCCAGACTTTCCAGCTTAATAAAGGAAATGAAAATTAGAAATGAAAATTTCATTTTGGGAAGTTTATAGGGTTTTGGCTTTGTTCTCAACACAGCAGCTATTGGCCCCTTCCCAAAAAAAACCGAGAGCCCAGAAAACCACTTCTCTCCGAGTGTCTTCAAAATATATAAATAAAAATAGGAGATCTTCCTCATCTTGCAGCGTGATAGTATTCCCACAATGCAGAAATAACTATGGTTATCTTGACTGAAGCATGAGACCCCCACTGCTTCACATGTTGCTTCTCTAGATGTTAAGGTACATGGCACTTCCAATTAGGACAACGTTTTCCTTCATTGGAGTTGAGGATTTCTCTAGAAGTGCTTAACATACCCATAAACACACACTCAGGAGCCACTTACCCTGTCAACCATGAAATCAATTCCATCTGCCATTTCAGGATCAACAGGACCAGATGCAAAGTTTCCAAGAACAATTTTCTTCAGCATAAATGCAGGCATTAGCCAAAAACTGAAATGAAAACAGATCATACAAATATTTAGTTTTAATCTAATCAAGTGGTTTTTTTGCAGGACACAACTTGTACAATCATTAAATAAGCATTAAAGATCACATGGATGAATGATGGCACCTACTGAAACAATAGACTGCTTTCTAAGGCTGCAGTTTCTTTGAAATCTGTCTTGTTAAATCATTAGTATTTTACCACTTATTTCCCCCTCCCCCATCACCTTATTCCTTCTCTTCTCCCAAATTGCTCCCAGCCCAAATGGCTAGCACTCTGTTTACGCTTTTATCTGATGTTCCAGGATGTTACTGGAAAAATAGTAGGCTCTTAGCGTGGCTGCTTTTTTTGGCCTTCCTCACCTGTTTGCAGTCCATGTCTGGTTAAATATAGAGGTGTCACTGAAGGCATTACAAAGGATCAACGACTGAACTCTGGGAGACTTGTATGCGTATTCAGCAAATTTTTGAGCCAAAAAGCCTCCCAAAGAAGCCCCAAAAAGATGGACCTATTTCAAAATCAGAAAAGTACATCTGTAATGTAACAAACTTCAAATTTATCCCCCCAAACCTGTGCACAGCATTACAAAAATGCAACGATAAACCTGTTAAATCTTATCCCTGTCCTACACTTAAAGTCTGTTGGGAACAAAGTTCACAGTTCTTTGTTTTCTCCCCAAAGAATCTAGACCTCCTCCACTTTAAGTTACAGTACTTTTATCTGCTTACATGCTACAATTTTTAAGAAAGATTAACTTTCATAGTTAACAAAAAACTTAATTAACCAAGATATGAGGTGCACCAGAAAACAGGGATCAACATGGGCAAAGTTAGAGGTTTTAGATAGCGTTCTTAGTTTTGAATGTCTTAAGAAAAAAAAGCTTGCATCACAGCCCTACGAGAATTTTTGCTTAGTAGTTCTTAATAAACTCCAGGCTTTTTTACCAACATTTGTAACCACACATTAGTCGCTAATCTCAGGGTACGAACTTTATCCAGCTGCAGGTGGTCTAGCAGTTTTCTGAATCCATCGCAGAACTCAAGGTGGTCCCAATACACTGGATACTGCAACTAGAGTATAAGGATAAAATGAATACAGTGATTAGTAAGGGAATGAAGGTGTTCTTTCATCAGCCCTCCTCATAGCTCCTGTCTGTTCAGAAAGAAGTCTTACACATTAGCTTGGACTTTCAGCAAAAACAAAGAACCTAGACATGGCACTGAACAGCATGATTACTGGATAAAGAGCAAAATCCCCTCATTATGTTGCGCAAAAAAGGCATAAATAAAACTATTAGCCAGCACAAAGATGGAGTGATTTGGAACTACCCCATTTGCATAACCTAAGCTTCCACTAAGAAGTTTGGATCACCACATGTTGAATTCACTGCAGCAGAGACAGACTCCAACACAATCTTTTAAGTAGATTTTTCAAAGGACTGTGACCTAATATTTGCTGCTATGCAAGCTACAAGTTATCTGTAAGATAAAGGATGACACCCCCTCCGCAAATGCACAGAATAGCTGGTTTGGAGATGAGAAGCATACTGAGTAGCTAAAGGTAGGAATTATAGTGGAAGCAGCCATTTAAAGATAAAGAGAGGAACCAAGACACAAGCAGTCAGAGAAAAATGATGGTTCTGCCATGATGTTCAAGGTAGGGTCCCAACCCATCGCTCCACTAAGAATAAGTCACTAAGTAATAAGCAGTTACAAGTTAGATTACTCATTAGCATACAGATACCAGGCAATGCTTCTTAAAACGTAGTGGATAAATAGGTGTTAAGTTGCACCATACTATGGCTGCCTTCCAGAGAAAACAACTACTATGATTGTTTTCCTGTATTGTAGACCTGGAGACAGAGCAAGTAGCTATTGCACTGAAAAGAATGCAACTGCTTTAAAATCCCCCTAGTAATAAATCTTAAGAAATGCATGTGATCTCAAGATCATCCAGAACTCCAGGTGTTCAAAGCATAGAGGGGAAAAAAAATATATGAAGTCAAGGAGCATCTGTAAAAGTGTTTCATGTACTCCCTTTGTAAATACACGGTATGCCAGGGCTCAGTTTTGCATGTTCTATACCCCAGGAACATGCCTTAGCATAGCTGTTCTGCGATTTCCTTATAAAAACAGAACAAACCATCATGATGCCACTGAACTGACTGTATTTACAGTAACAAAAATAAATCCGCACAGGATGTTGAGGTTGCACTGAGAATACTCACAGCAATAACTCTGTAACCCCATCCAGTCAGGGCCAAGATCTGCTGGAAAAACACATCTGCAGTTCCACTTACAGGTGGAAGAAATATGAGGGGGCACCGGATGCTCTTGGGTCCTGCATCATATAACGACCAAACTTTGCTGTCATCATCATCTACTATGATCTGGGAAAAGAAGAGCATTTTAAAAGGAGTTATGAAGCCCATTATTCCTTGGGATTGGTTTGGCTACAGCTATGTTCTACATAGGTTTCAGGTGTCTGGCTCTCATACTATAGTGCATAAAAAAATTTTTTAAAAGGTACCCCTCACCCCTTTGTTTCTCTTCACAATAACTTTAACTCCATCCTATTGTATGTGGTGTTTACACTAACTGCTGAACATGCCTAGACACAGCACCACTGTTGCAAAACCATGCAACCAGCTGCTTTCTGTGCTAACCAGGTATCTGAAGCCACTCTGCTCAGAGGTCATATCACTATAACAGATAGTGGGTTGTGGAAGTTCTCACTGCAGCAAAGGATTTCAGTTCACAATTACCAGAAGGAAGTCATGGTGGTTTAGGAATGAGACTGTCCTTCACAAATTGCTCCAGGAAGGAATTTTTCCTTCTCAGATATAAGAGTTACATAAACACATAACATAACCATAATCTACTGAATAGATTAAATCAAAATGTGAAAATGTACACAGATCAAAGTCAGAGGAGCGGCAAGATCGTGTAAACAAGTCAGGATCTCAGGAAGTAGTGTACCACTACCATACAGAGCATGCGTGGCCAAGAAGGAACATGGCTTCTAAAGTCTACACTAACTATCCAGCAGGTAGCTGGAATATCAAGTGTAATAGCTACAGACTGGTAAAAATCACCCTCTGAATGACTGGAGGACAGCTTCATTTCTTGGCACCAACACAGGGCTGTGGGAGCAGATCCAGATTTCTGCAGGTCTGACTTGGTCCTAACCATGCAGTTAGCCCAATAGGAGATATCACCCACAAACATCTTTGCCTCTCACAGATCTGGAGGGTAGTCAGGGATACTTGATGCAGCAGACCAACTACAGATCACTAATTTGAAACAACTGGGTCCCATCAAAAGAGGGATGCTATACAGAGCTTACTCAAAGCAGCACCACCAAGCTGCGGTGGGACAGCAGGAGTTTTCACTGCGAAGGAGGCATTCACTGCAACGTTCAAGGGGAGGACAGGATCTGCTCTCCACCGTCAGAACTGCTGTACATGAGCTTCATGTAAGGTCTGTCTGAAGCTAGGAAGTCAAGTCATGGGAATGAGGGCCCTGGGTGAATGGTACCTTTGAAAACCAGGAGTTTGAAAATTCCTAGTCCCTCCTGTTGCTGAGAAGTAATTCACGTTTACAGCATTTGCTTTTCAGATGTACCGCTTGATGCTTAGGAGTCCCCTTTACTGCTACAAGGCTCACCTTTGGTACCTGACTACAGGCCAAACTAACCGTGGAAACTCCCAGATAAAACCTACCCCATACTGCAGCAGGCCCACCCCAGAATCTGATCTATTCCAATTTTGAACCACTTTCTATAAGCAGCCCTTCTCTTGATTCCTGGAGAACAGCAGATCACTAATCCCTAGATCTGCCTGGCTCACTGCAAGTCTGCTCAGCATAAGGCTCAGAGGACATGTGAGAGTCCCATGTTAGCAGTAATTTTTGTGACGTTTCCAAAACAGTTTAGACATGGCTTGGGGCCAAGACTTCAGAGCACTTGGAGTCACAGACAGACTTGTGCATCTACAATTCAACTTGCAATTCGCAGCTGCTCTGTAAGATTATGACTTGAATCTATTCATTTCGGGCATCTGCATCTGAAACAGGAGCCTAGCTTTAATTCTAAAAAGAAAAACAATAACTTGTCCTGAGCACTTTATTCTAGGATACTAGCAAGTGTTTGAGAGAGAATTAACGCTGCGTACAAGTGGGAACGAAATGGAGGGCAGGCCAGAAATTAAGGTATTTTCCTCACTGCCAGACAACAAACATGGGGCATGCAGGGCACCATGAACTTGTCCCACCTGAAAATAGCCATAACACACAGCTTTACTGCATAATCCAATGGTTCTCAACCTTTGCAGAGTCACAGACAGGATCCCTCCATCACTTTTTTTGGAGGTGGCAACACCACCAGTTGAGAACAACTGTTGGTGCTGCCTCAGTTTACCCCAGGGCTTCTCAACTGGGTGATGCTGCCTCGAGGTAAAACTACCCCACATGCCTCTATTTGCAAGAGTTTGGAAGGGCTACAGTCCAAGCTGCTTTAGGGCTATCAGAGCCCTAATGCAGCAGGAGTGTCTGCATGGGGCCATTTTACCTGCCTACTGTTGCTGCAGCACCTGAGGAGGGCTCATGGCACCCTGGTTGAGACCTACTGGGTTAGTCTTTTGAAACTGCAGTAAGCATCAAAGAACTAAAAAAATCACTTGGGGTAGCTGCAAATTCAGATAGGTCACTGCCTTCTTTGGTTCCCTTATACCAAAAGTGGCCAACCTGCAGCACGTGCCACAAGTGGAAAGGGCAGCCTCGGTTTGTGACACAGCAGACCATGGAAGGGACAGCCGACATAGCAGCAGGCAGCGTAGGAAGCAGAAGGCAGAGCAGCAAACTGGGCAGGGGAAGGGGATGAGGGTAGCACTCTGGGAGGATGTGGGACTGGTTTGTGCAATGCCTGCCAAAAAAATTTCACCCCCTTTCCCTCTACTGCTTTATAACAAGCTCAGCTGATGCAAGCTTAAATTATGAGTTAATCTAAACTCCACTGAATTATTTCAGCTGAGCCAGGATTTCATTCTATGGCTCCGAGCAGCATACGCTTCCTGACCGTAAGGTGGTCAGTGCTATTCACTGCTCCTGAGCAGTGCACTGCAGTTGTTGCACTCCTCTCCCCATTCAGCGCTCATGAAACCCTTTATAGCCTCAGGCTCCCTCTGCCCCACTTCACACTGGAGGAAGCTGTGGGACACGCACTTCACATGACAGTTGCACAGGAAGTGCTTGCAGATTAGATCATACGCAAGGGCCCTCAACTCCTGTCCTGTGCCTTAGATATGAGCTGCCCTCTCCTACATTGCACGCATTGTGGGCATGACTTACACAGCACTTTTCTCTGGCATATTAGACACCAACTGGAGGAATCACTTCTCATCCCCAAGACAGCTGCCTGCCAGGTGAAATGCCTGATCCAGTCTGCCCCAGAAGCCCCATCAGGGTTAAAGAGTGAAAGGGAACAATGAATCCTCCCATGGGACCACATGCTGGGTATTAGAGAGGCAGAATGTTTGTCTAAGCTTGAATTCAGCACACCAGAACAAACACTCCTGGACTTATAAATGTGCCCCAGGCTGTTTAGTAATCCCAATGAGTCAGGAGCACAGCTATGAACAGCAGCTGGGGGGGAGAGGGGATGAAAATTCTGTCTTTAAACATTTATTTTTCTCACTTCTTTCAGGAAGAAGGCCTCCATCCAGTTATGATTTCATAGACATTCAGGCTGGAAAGGACCTCGAGAGATCATCAGGTCCAGCCCCCTGCCCAAGGGACAGGAAGTCAGCTACATGGTAGGGGCGGGGGGTGCAAGTGGCAGGGATAACTCGTGACTGAAGCAGGACAAATCTAGGATCTCTAATCCAATGGTTTTCGACCTTTTTTGTATCAGGACCCATTTGTAAATGAAGGCCAGTCCCAACCCAGTGCCCCTCACTCCCTACCTGCTACCCTCCAGCCTCCCAGTGTATGGCGGGGGGGTCAGGCAAGTAACCCCTCACAGGCTGGAACTCTGCTAGCTTACAAGGGAAAAGCTACTGTTTCCCACATTTTTCTCCTTTAAAGAAGACTCCATCTTTAAAGTTTGTGCACAACCCTTTCACGTATCCCTGGAACCCACTTTTGGGTTGTGACCCATGGGTTGAGAAACCCCACTCTAAGACACTTGCTCCCAAAGACATCTCCGGGGTTCCCAGGCTCCCAAAGCTCTTCATAATCAGATATGGTGAAAGCCAATGCAACAGTGACGAGGGGAGAATCTTCACTGATGCCAGGAAGAAAATATTTCCCCCTCCCTCTTCACCAGACATCATCTCCTCCAAAGCTGCACCTTCAAGTTTGAGAGCTATGAATAGATTTATCTACCATTTACTTGGAGAAACCACGTGGTTTCATCTGTATATCACAAGATACATAACTGGCTTCAGAGTCCTTCTGGAAAGCAGAGCTTTTTTGAAAATCTTTTGCAATGCTGGCAGCTCACAGCAGAAGTTATAAGAGGACTGCACACACCAAACACTTTAGTTCCTCGTCAAGCCTACAGAGAAGAGCCTAAGCAAGAGAGGAAGGTGGCTGGATACAACAGAAGCTATCAGAAGAGCCTGTCATTCTACAAGAAAGAGCGTTTCTTCCTTCAGCGTGCCCAGTGCATCCTTCCATGGATGGGACTTCAGAAAGCAGCCTGGATTCCACGAGGATGAGAAGAGCTCTATATAAAACCAAACCAAACCAATGGGAATGGAAGTCAGAGCTGTAGGCGGCGGCAGCAGCACCAACGCAGGGCAGGCAGCTAAACTGCACTGCCAATTCCTAACTTCAGAATCCAAAAAGACCTTCCACAAGTGCTGACAAGCACAGCTCTCCAGCAGACTGCCAAAGCTCAGATGGCACCAGGAACCCAGTAGATTACTTCAAAAAGAGTTGTGTCAAAAATAAAAGCACCACACCAAGCAAGATGGTAACATGGGTCATGTCAGTAGACATGCCAGTCTGCGAGTCATGTAAAGCAGTCACTGGAGTTCCAGCAAAGATGCACTGTGCAGGGGTCTGTGAGCCGGATCCAAACCGGAGTCGGGTTGTTCCAGCTCACAGCTCCAAAACATTGCTGACCACTGGCTTAGACAGTTCTCAGTTCTGCACAGCATGGTCCTTGTGAAATAAGGCTCTATTTCATAACAAATTATTTAAATTGTACCTACCTTTTTAAGAGGAACTGTACTTCTGAACCAGTTATAGTCAGGAGAGACTTTAATCTCTCCCATGATGTTTAGATGAAACTTAGGTAAACCTGAAACAAAGATATGGCATCTTTTAGGCCAAGAATGCAGGTTCGCACTAAGCCACTACACTGAAGCCTTGTATATACAAAGAGTCCTTCCATGATGAAATTTGCTTTTACCTCTTATCAGCTGGTTTCTAATGCGTCAAGTTTGCTTATCCTTAGTTTTAATTAGAAGCTACTTAAAGATATTCAGAAGATACAATCACTAGAATGTTTTAATATACTAACCCTCTAATTATGAACTGATGGAGCTTTTGGGGATAAAAAGGCAGCTTTTCCTTACAGACCATTCCAATGGAGCAGCTCCTGAAAAGGAAAGATAGTATTTCAGGGTTTAACTTGTTTTAAAAAGTGGACATTTTTATCATTGCTTCTATTCAACTTTAAACAGTTCAGAAAAGGGGCTATAAATGACCACGTATTTCATGCCTTGACCTCCAATTATTCAAGTATATAGGACACATGCTCTAATTCAACTGTAACTAACATAAGCATTTCTTGAAAGCAAGCTTCAACACTACCTCCATATTACTGGATACCTGTTCTACAGAACAGTCAAAGCTTCAGGGCTTCTCTTCACAGAGAAGCCGACCAAAACAGCAACATCTAACAGTTGTTCCGCATAATTAGTGTACTTAATCCAAAATTAAAAAAAAGATTTTATTCCAGAAAAATAACTGTTTTCCCAAGCCAAAGTAATAATTCTAAAATTAAAACAGAGTTTATTCCAGAAGTGTCCACACACGGAGCTTTATTCTGAAATAGCTATTGTAGATGGACTATTCCCACTACAGCCAATTCCCCCCAGACAAAGAAGCATTAACAAAATTACCCGTATATTGAGGTTTCACGTTCTGTATAGGACACAATTTGTTTGCAATAATGAAATCAAGACTAGCCTAGTGAAACGCCATGGCACTGATAGATTAAGCACTTTTATTTGTATACCAAATAACACTGGATAATTCTTAAAACTGGGGCTATATTCTGACTGCTTGTAACCTGTTGCTTGAAAGGGAAATTCTGCCCCAGAGATTCATTTAATTTCACACCGTGTACAGAGCATAAGAAAATAAGGCGTTTGCTCTTTTAATCAAATATTCAGATATAATTAAATGGGCACTGACTCATTTCTAATCAGAATTGCCATGTATTCCACTCAATTTCTCTCTGTAGACAAGACCCTAAACGAAGGAAATTTACCTCATCTGTTCCCACCACTATACAAAAAAAGCGATTAAGATACAGCTCTTTAGAATTCAATCCCAGTTTGCTAGTTTATAAACAGATGGAACAAACAGTGAAGAAACACTTACTAGAAACATGAAGTACATGCCTCTTACCTACTATTTTCCAAACTGCAGAAAGTATTTCATTTTCACCACATCACAAATATTTCCAGATTGGGTGAGAATCTCACCCTACTGGGTTGACTGGTATTTCAATTTTGGATAAGTTCCTGCTTGCATCAAGTATTTTACCACTTGTGCTAGCCTGGCAGCGCATAAAAGTTAGCGGAGAGCAAACACTGCCTCCAGCCAACAGACTGGCGAGTGAAGCAGGCTCACAGAATATTACTGGAACGGGAGGACAGCTGGTCATTAGGCAAAAAGAAGAGAGCAGTTTGTTCTACTAAATCCCCTGCGTAAATCTGGATTAGCCACTACACAAAAAACAAACATTTTTGGAAACAATGCTGCAATAATATGCTGCAGAAATTGCGAAAGCAAGCAAAACATACACGAACACCTTAATGCAAGAGCAGTGTATGCTTTACACTGTATTTTAATTTATTATATAGCTGTGGCCAGAAGCCCAAGTCAGGATCTGGGTCCCACTGTGTGAGCGCATAAGCAAATTCTTTAGAGAAATGTAAGGAAGCATCCGTTTAGCTTGATGACAAGACTGTGCGCTAAAGAAATGGTTTCATTCATCACAGGATTGTGAGCCAATTCCAGCTGTTCTCCGCTCTCCCTTCTCTTGCTCCCGGTGGTTGTATTAGTGCCATTAATTTAAGTGCAAGGCATTAATTGGCAGCCTTAGGGATGGAGTTATTCTAGAGAATAGGATTGGAACAAGCATTTTTCTTTACTATCCTCATGGTCTTGCCAACGTACCTGAACAGCAATCTGCAGGGGCCCCTTATAAGACTCAAAAGAATCAGTCTCCACACCTTTAAACCTTGGGCTCCTACCAAGATCGTTACCAAAAACCCTAATTGGCATTAGCTGTGGTTTGTCTGAAGCAGAGAGCTACCTAATACGAACCGAACGCAGACGGCAACTACCACACACCGCAAACCACTGCCCCTTGACTCGTGCTCCCGTCTTACAGCTATTTTGCTCCGTGCTCGCGCTCCTTCCTATTTGGCTCTGTGCACTGCTACAAAACAATGTCAGCAATAGGAAATTCAATTCCTGCGAGGCTCCTGCGCGGCGGCGCAGGCAAGTCTCCGCAGAAACGCAACGTTAAAATCCTCGTAGGTGAATAACCATCACCATGAAAGCTTAATCACGACACTTTGCTGGTTATCCGATTTCCCAGCTCATTCAAAGGCAGGGAACATAATGCTTGGAGCTGTCCAGGATTGTGCCACGCACGTCTTTAAAGAAAAAACCAAACAAGTTTTGAAAACCAATTCGTTTAAGGAAAACACTGACTCTTTGTCTAGGTCCCACAAGCCACGACAGAAATTAAACGGGCGCGCGGGCAGCACAGACCCCCCACGCTACCCCTGCCCAGCCTGTGCCCGCGTCCCCAGACGCGAGACAACGACTAAGCAG